ATCCGAGCAAACCCACGGGAATCCAAGCAGACCCTTCCAGAATCTGCAAGGACAGAAATCCGAGCAAACCACCGAGAAACTGCAAGTGCAGCAGGCAATCCGAGCAAACCCTTCCAGAAACAGCAAAGCAGCAGAGAATCCGAGCAAACCCTTCCAGAATCTGCAAGGACAGCAGGGAATCCGAGCAAACTCTTCCAGAATCTGCAGACTGCAGGGAATCCGAGCAAACCCACGAGAAACTGCAAGGACAGCAGGGAATCCGAGCAAACCCTTCCAGAATCTGCAAGGACAGCAGGGAATCCGAGCAAGAAATTGCAAGTACAGCAAGGAATCCTAGCAAACCAACGAGAAACTGCAAGTGCAGCAGGCAATCCGAGCAAACCCACGAGAAACTGCAAGGACAGCATGGAATCCGAGCAAATCCACGAGAAGCTGCAGCTACAGCAGGGAATCCGAGCAAACTTTTGCAGAATCTGCAAGGACAGCAAGGAACCCGAGCAAACCAACGAGAAACTGCAAGTACAGCAGGCGATCCGAGCAAACCCTTCCAGAAACAGGAAAGCAGCAGAGAATCCGAGCAAACCCTTTCAGAATCTGCAAGGACAGCAGGGAATCCGAGCAAACACACGGGAATCCGAGCAGACCCTTCCAGAATCTGCAAGGACAGAAGGGAATCCGAGCAAACCAACCAGAAACTGCAAGTACAGCACGGAATCCGAGCAAACCCTTCCAGAAACAGCAAAGCAGCAGAGAATCCGAGCAAACCCTTCCAGAATCTGCAAGGACAGCAGGGAATCCGAGCAAACTCTTTCAGAATCTGCAGAGACTGCAGGGAATCCGAGCAAACCCACGAGAAACTGCAAGGACAGCAGGGAATCCGAGCAAACCCTTCCAGAATCTGCAAGGACAGCAGGGAATCCCAGCAAGAAATTGCAAGTACAGCAGGGAATCCGAGCAAACTGCAAGTGCAGCAAGCAATCCGAGTAAACCCACGAGAAACTGCAAGGACAGCAGGGAATCCGAGCAAATCCACGAGAAACTGCAGCTACAGCAGGGAATCCGAGCAAACTCTTGCAGAATCTGCAAGGACAGCAAGGAACCCGAGCAAACCAACGAGAAACTGCAAGTACAGCAGGCAATCCGAGCAAACCCTTCCAGAAACAGGAAAGCAGCAGAGAATCCGAGCAAACCCTTTCAGAATCTGCAAGGACAGCAGGGAATCCGAGCAAACACACGGGAATCCGAGCAGACCCTTCCAGAATCTGCAAGGACAGAAGGGAATCCGAGCAAACCAACCAGAAACTGCAAGGACAGCACGGAATCCGAGCAAACCCTTCCAGAAACAGCAAAGCAGCAGAGAATCCGAGCAAACCCTTCCAGAATCTGCAAGGACAGCAGGAAATCCGAGCAAACTCTTTCAGAATCTGCAGAGACTGCAGGGAATCCGAGCAAACCCACGAGAAACTGCAAGGACAGCAGGGAATCCGAGCAAACCCTTCCAGAATCTGCAAGGACAGCAGGGAATCCGAGCAAGAAATTGCAAGTACAGCAGGATATCCGAGCAAACCAACGAGAAACTGCAAGTGCAGCAAGCAACCCGAGCAAACCCACGAGAAACTGCAAGGACAGCAGGGAATCCGAGCAAATCCAGGGTTTAGGGTTTAGGGTTTAGGGTTTATAGAAATTGTTAAGGGTTTGGGTCCCAAAAACTTTTTGACCGAAACGTTTTGATTTGCGCATGTTTTCAATTTTCTTGGGGGGCTGCGAAACGTCCTGGGGCTGGGGCTCAGGCTGGGGGGCTGGCGGGGCCTGGATTTGGGGCTGGGCCTGGATTTGGGGTTTGGGCCGATTTGCCTGGATTTGGGGTCTGGGGCCTGGATTTGGGGCTGGGCCTGGATTTGGGTTTGGGGCCTGGATTTGGGGTTTGGGGCGTGGATTTGGGGCTGGGACTGGATTTGGGGTTTGGGGCTGGAACCTGGATTTGGGGCTGGGCCTGGATTTGGAGCTTGGATTTGGCTGGGCCTGGATTTGGGGCTTGGGCCTGGATTTGGGGTTGGGCCTGGATTTGGGGTCTGGCCTGGATTTGGGCTGGCCTGGATTTGGGTTTGGGCCCTGGGCCTGGATTTGGTGCCTGGATTTGGGGCTAGGCCTGGATTTGGGGTTTGGTGATTTTGGGCCTGGATTTGGGGACCTGGATTTGGGGCCTGGAGGGGTCTGGCTGGGCCTGGTTTGGGTCTGGAGCCTGGATTTGGGATTTGAAGGTGGGCCTGGGTTGGAGGTTGTGGAGAAATTGGTTTATCAAGAAGCTTGTTCAATTTTAAGCGGTGTGTTGGGCCGTAATGGTGGTTACAAGTTTATGGAGAAATCGGTTTATCAAGAAGCTTATTCAACTTTTAATGCCGGCTGGGCTGGGCTGGGCTGGACCGGGCTGGCTGGGCTGGCTGGGCTGAGTTAAAGGTTGAGGTCGTGGTTGTGCGAAATTGGTTTATCAAGAAGCTTGTTCAGTTTTTGACCGGGTGGCTGTTTTGAGTTGGCTGGGCTAAATTAATTTTGAGGTTGTGGTGGCTGTTTTGTGTTGGCTGGGTTGAGTCAATGGTTGAGGTTGTGGTTGTGCGAAATTGGATTATCAAGAAGCCAGCGCCAGTTTTAACCGAAATGCTGGGCCCTAGCGGTGGTTACAAACAAGGACAAGCAATTTCTATTTATCACTTACTTGAGGGTTTAGGGTTTAGGGTTTAGGGTTTATAGAAATTGTTAAGGGTTTGGGTCCCAAAAACTTTTTGACCGAAACGTTTTGATTTGCGAACCATGTTTTCAAATTTCTTGGGGGGCTGCGAAACGTCCTGGGGCTGGGGCCCAGGCTGGGGGGGGGGGCTGGCTAAAACCTGGATTTGGGGTTTGGGGCCTGGATTTGGGGGGCCTGGATTTGGGGTTGGGCCTGGATTTGGGGCTGGGCCTGGATTTGGGATTTGGGTTTGGGGCCTGGATTTGGGGTTTGGGGCCTGGATGGCCTGGATTTGGGGCTTGGGGCTGGGCCTAGATTTGGGGTCTGGAGCCTGGATTTGGGGCTGGGCCTGGATTTGGGTTTGGGGCCTGGATTTGGGGTTTGGGGGTCTGGATTTGGGGCTGGGACTGGATTTGGGGCTTGGGGCCTGGATGGGGCTGGGCCTGGATTTGGGGTCTGCAACCTGGATTTGGATTTAGGGCTTGGATTTGGGGCTGGGGTGTGGATTTGGGGCGCATTTGGGTGGGTTGGGGTCTGCAACCTGGATTTGGATTTAGGGCTTGGATTTGGGGCTGGGGTGTGGATTTGGGGCGCATTTGGGTGGGCCTGGATTTGGGCCTGGATGGTTTGGGGCCTGGATTTGGGGCTGTGGGCCTGGATTTGGGCTAGGCCTGGATTTGGGCTTGGGCCTGGATTTGGGGTGATTTTGGGCCTGGATTTGGGGACCTGGATTTGGGTGCTTGGATTTGGGCCTGGTTTGGGTCTGGAGCCTGGATTTGGGATTTGGGACCTGGATTTGGGGCGTTTTGGTGCTTGGATTTGGGGTCTGGGTCTTGGGGCCTGGGTCTGGGAAGGTGGGCCTGGGTTGGAGGTTGTGGAGAAATTGGTTTATCAAGAAGCTTGCTCAATTTTAAGCGGTGTGTTGGGCCGTAATGGTGGTTACAAGTTTATGGAGAAATCGGTTTATCAAGAAGCTTATTCAACTTTTAATGCCGGCTGGGCTGGGCTGGGCTGGACCGGGCTGGCTGGGCTGGCTGGGCTGAGTTAAAGGTTGAGGTCGTGGTTGTGCGAAATTGGTTTATCAAGAAGCTTGTTCAGTTTTTGACCGGGTGGCTGTTTTGAGTTGGCTGGGCTAGATTAATTTTGAGGTTGTGGTGGCTGTTTTGTGTTGGCTGGGTTGAGTTAATGGTTGAGGTTGTGGTTGTGCGAAATTGGATTATCAAGAAGCCAGCGCCAGTTTTAACCGAAATGCTGGGCCCTAGCGGTGGTTACAAACAAGGACAAGCAATTTCTATTTATCACTTACTTGAGGGTTTAGGGTTTAGGGTTTATAGAAATTGTATAGGGTTCAGGTCCCGAGTTTTGAGCGAGTTTTGAGCGAGTTTCGACCGAGTTTTGAGCGGGTTTTGGTTTTTGCTTTTGCATTTTGATTTGGGCAATGGGCTGGGCTGGGCAGACGCGCTGCGGCAGATTCAGATCAATATCTCTAATGCCGAAGCGCGCGTTGCTGCTGTGGAGCAGAATGCTACTCACCGCATCGAGGTCATCAGATCCGAGATGAGTCGCGCTCTCTACGATCACAAGGAGAGTAACCGAGCTCATATCGATCAGCTGACTGCTCGAATCCAACACCTCGAGAACGCTCATGTCCGCAGATCGAGGCGGTTCTGATAGATCGACGCCTTCGCGTCCAGAACGAACGCAGTTCTTCGATATCAGTGACCATGGTGGGGATATTCCACGCCCTGCGGACCTGCCGCCAGTTCCAGGTGCTCTATTCCCTGGCGGACCGACTACGGCCATTCCGAGGTCTTCCCTGTTGGGTCCGATCGATCATGGCTCTCCGCCGGGATGCAATGCTGCGCCTGCTGAAAAGGCCTCAACGGTTCACTCTCAGACGAGTGGAATCAATCTCGATGAAATTCTGAGGCGAGCGCAGCAACGAGTCGCTGACGAACAACCTGCCGAAAGTCGTGGGCAAAATAATCCTGTTGAGCCCATCCGACATAATTTCGGTCAAACGTCGGCGTGTTTTTCAGGAAGATCGCCGAATCAGGCCGTTCCTTCCGCAAATGCCGCCGGAGCGACTTCCGGTCAGATTCCGAGCCTCAGGCCATTTCAAGTCGATGATGCTCCTCGCGCTGACATCCGACACGCTCCTGAAGCCCGGAGCTTCCCTCCTGAACCCAGGTCAAGCCCGACCTTCCCATGCCAAATCTCCTATGACACTCGAACTGTCCCGGCAGGGAAGGGACCGTCACGATGGTATGATGCGATGCTTGGCCGATCGAATCTCATTGGCAACGGCGCTGGCGTACCAATTCTCCATAGTGAGACCGGTACTTTTACACTTCCGCCGAACACGAGCGTTACTGCGACGCTTCAGCATGATGCGGCCAATGATGCCATGCCCCCGATGCCCACCTTCAGTGCCAGAACGTCCATTCCTGCACCCAGTGCCGCGCCATCCGGATTTGGCGGACCGCCTCCCGCGCATAACGGAGGCGGCGGTTATTCTGGCGGTGATGGCCCCAACGATAATGGGAATGCATATGGAGGTGGCTTCGGAGGACATGGGCACCACGGGTCCGGTCTTGGTCCCGGTGGCGGTGGTGGCCCACCCGACGGCCCACCTGGTGGTCCGCCTGGTGGTGGTGGCCCTCCTGACGGGAGTGGTCCGCCCGATGGCGGCCTTGATCCGCCTAGCATCAGGCCCACCGGTCGGCCGAGCGGGAACGATACGTTCCAGTGCGAGCGATGCACCGGAACTTTCCCGACCATCGTGCGACGATCATGCATCTCTTGCCGTTTCTCGTGTTGCAACGGTTGTTGCCGAGATCCTTTGAGAATCTGTCTCGTGTGTCTTGAGAGACAGACTGGGAATCCACCTGGTCCCAACGATTCGGGATTCGGTGGACCCAAGGGCGATGGATCACTGAGCGAGGCCAAGAAGGCGAAGTGCAAGTCCTTTCGTCTCGATCCTGAGCCGGAGCCTGCTCAGTTGCGACGCTGGATCGTCGATATGAAAGAGCGAGTCGCGAATGCATTCGCCTACGATCCAGGATACGCACTATCATGGGTTGAGATTCCCGATGGTACACGGTATGAGGATCTTCTCGATGAGTGCAAGTACGGAATGCTTGAAAACGAATGCAACTCTGCATTCCGTGAGTGCGTCCGATCTATTGCACTGAAGAATAAGATCCAGACCGAGACCGAGCGCATGCATACGATAAACCGGCGACTCGGAAGTAGGCAGATCTTGTGGCTATTGTATGATTTCCTTCGACCACATGTTACCGGCGATTCGACTTTCAAGCTCGTTGACCTGATGAAGACCACGATTGATCGGTTTACTCATGGATCCGAGCAGGAAAGGTTGGAAGCCTTCTCCAATCGGTGGGATCATGTTCTCGCTGGTATCTCAGTCGATCGCCCCGAGGATCCTGTTCTCTGCGCTCTCTTTTATGAGCAGGTGCGTGAGTTCCGCTGTCTCGAGCTCGACATGCAGCTATGGGACAGGGACGTATCCGTACGGAACTACGCATACTTGCGAACCGTCTGCGTCAATGCGATTACAACATGGCGCCGACGACGCAACCAGGAGAAGATGTACACCGCTACCAGGTCTACTTCTGCGCAGAGATACGCTGCACCTGCGCACGGCAGCCCGCGCAGATCTTCATCCCGAGGTCAAAGGGGGTCAAGATCGCCTGGGCGTCGTGACTCCAGAAGGGGGAGTCCGTACCGAAGGAGCTCGCCGAGGCGCTCGTCACCCAGACGATCCTCCCCGCGACGCGGATCGCCAAGACGATATTCCCGCAGTCCGGGACGAGCAGCTCCCGCACCGACTCGCCCAATGTCGCGATCCCCGCGAGGACGGGAAATCTGCTACGATTTCAAGAAAGGCAGATGCACGCGAGGAAGCGGATGCAAGTTCTCCCATAACCTGAAGGGAAGAAGCTCCTCGCCGAAGGGTTTCCCGCCTCGATCGCAATCACCGATCTCAAAGGAGTCTGGTATTTGCTTCTACTTTGCGCGAGGCACTTGCTCGAGAGGAGACAAGTGTCCTTATAAGCATGTGAAGCCGGGTGCCCCAGCTGAGAGCACCCCTGCTGCCGCTCCTGCGCCTGCTGAGCCCGCGCCGACGTCAAGGCGGGTTGACAGCCGGCGCCCACGCCCTCGGATTTTTGAGAGGGGCGTGCCGCAACCCTCAGGCAATGACAGCGTCCTCCTATGGAGACTTCGCCTTCGCTTGCGTTGCATCATTCGATATGGCATGTCCGTCAGTCAAGCGGAAGACAGTATCGTTTGGGAATACTGAGACCCGCGTGATAGAGTCTTCTTTCCCGGAGCCAAACTTCGGTCCCGTCAATCGCGAGAGGAATTTGAACTATTCGTGGCCGGAAGATATCCGTGGTCTGAATAGTGCTCGCGAAAGGCGAAGGGCGCACATGAAGGCTGTGCTTTGGAGAGAGCAGGTTTTGCTCGATGACGTTGATGCCAAAACGCTAGGTAATGATGCTTGTGTTCTTGAGCTCACGCTTTCTCAGCGGAGCGCTTGCGAGGTCTTTGCTGCTGCTGTCAAGTCTATTAAGAGGGTCCGGAGACTAATGCTCGACTCCGGTTGCGGTATAGACCTTATTGGTCTCGGTGATCTGTCCCGCGAGGAAAGGGACCTGATAGTTCAGAATGCTAAGATCAGCCTTAGGACCGCCAATGGGAAAACTAACACCAAAGGTGTTGCTCATATGCGCATTGACGGCCTCGATGAGCTGATTGAAGCTTATGTGCTGGAGAGCACACCAAGTCTTCTTTCCCTAGGGAAACGATGCAAGGAGCTTGGTTACCGATTTATCTGGGAACCCTTTTGTGATCCGATATTCTTTGATCCCAAAGGGAGACAACTCAAGATTGATGTTATCAATAACATCCCCTACCTCGCTCCGAGCGAAACTGAGGTAGTCGCGGGTCGACCTGATCTCCCTCGTGTGTATCCGGCACTCCCAGCACCGATCATTATTCACGAGAAAATCGTGGCTGCGGGTGAAGAACCTGTGGGCGAGCTAGACGACATTGGTGAGCTCGATCTTGATATGCCTGGTGCTAAGAGTGCCCAGAAAGATGCACCTGACGATATCAAGAAGGTGCCTAACAAGCCTAAGCATCAGTCGCCGCCCGATGAACCGAGAGCGCGCGATCTGAGGGAGGAGGCTAAGTCCATCCGTCACCTTATGACCCATCTACCTAAGAATCCCTACTGCGATGCATGCCAACGTGCAAAGATGGAAAACGTTAAGTCGTTTCGCCAAGACTCACCACGCGATAAAGGGTTTGAGAGCGAGCACGTCACCATCGATACTATGGTGTTGCACGGGCTTGGCAATCGTGGGAATAATGGGGAAACAGATGCTGTTGTCTTCTATGATCTAGCGACCGAGTGGTTAGAGAGTGTTCCCGTCAAGGGAAGGACAAATGCCGACACGCTTCGAGCGTTCCAGCAGGTCTTCGGCGACCTTCAAGATGTGAACTCGTTCTCCATGGATGTGGAGAGAAGGTATGCACCGTCTGAGATCCGGGAAATCTACTGTGATAAAGCCCGTGAGTTCATATCGACCTGCAAAAGAGTCGGCATCTCTGTAAAACATTCCACTCCTGGCATGCCTCGCACTAATGCCATTGCCGAGAGCAAGGTGAAGCTCGTCCTTCATGGCGCACGAGTGGCGCTTCGACAAGCGGGACTGAGCGCCAAATTCTGGCCATACGCATGCAAGCACTTTTGCCATGCCCGCAACATCGAGTTACGCGAAGGACAAAGTGCGTATTCGCTACGATTTAATGGTGCCGAATTTGACGGTCAGGTTCTCCCATTCGGATGTCTTGTAGACTTCTATCCCACGCCGGCACGAAAGCAAACCCGACGTAGTCAGAAAGATGAAGTCGTACTCGGCGATGGTGAGGAATATGCCGTACCTGCGCCTGGAGATGATGGATTGGTCGAAGTCGAAGTTGGATTCGATGATGATGGTTATCTCGAGTGGATCGACGATGGAGACGACGATCGACCTGGATCCCTCCAAGGACCAAACATGGATCAACGCCTATCGTCCTACCAGCGCCCCAGCAAATTCTCTCCCACGAGTAAACCCGGTGTGTTTCTGGGTTACCACTTCGAGAATGGGGGCAGGTGGGACGGTGACTATATAGTCGCCGACCTTGAAGATTTCAAGCGCGACGCACTGCGTGCGAGCGTCCATCAGGTCAAGAAGCTATACTGCTCATCCAAGGAGCGATGGACATTTCCGATGCTGGCTGTATACGATAAACAGACACGATCAGTCTGCATCAACGATCCCGCGATGCATTCTAATGTGCCTAAGCCAAGTGAGCGTCTTGACGCCTCCGACATGCTCGATCTCGAAGATATCGATGAAATCTTCGCCCTTGATGAGTCAACGCCAATGACCGATGATGATATTCGCCAAGCTCGCGAGGCTGAGTTACGAGCGGAGTCCTCTCATGGAGGAGGTGTTGACTACTGGGAGTATGACCCATCTGTGCATAAATGGACGTATCACGTCGTTGTTCCCAGAAAAGCGATGGTCCATCCCAGTAAGACTCCCGGTTCCGTCGGGGAATCGCCTGATCCATGGAAGCTGAGCACGGTGCGTATATCACATGTTCAATACAAGGACAAAAGCCCGGTTACGATCTATGAGACCGGGTATGCCTTCGGCAAAACAAGACTCATGCAGCTCTGGACCGGCACTGTCGAATTTTATGATGACGGCTATGCCCCACCCAAGAGGAAGTTACCTCCTTACCACGGGTCGGAGATCCTGGAAGGCGAGGGGGGTTTGCCTTATCGTCAGAGTGTGCCGCGTTCCGAGCGGGCATATAAAGGGTCTCGAAAACCGAACTCTATCGATTCAGAATCCTGGCGCAGTATGAACCGCGCCGAACGGGAGGGATATGTAGAGGCTGAGCGCCGAGAAGCAGAGTCTCATGCCATGTCCCGCGAGGATTCTCGCGATGCTGCTCCTGTCGACATCGCTTACGATTCTGAATATGAGTCGGGTGCCGAACGGCATGACAAGGATTACTGGTATCACGATGTCGCAGCTGGCACGATCACCCGATTTCATGTGGTCGAGCGCCGAGCGCACTTCAACCCTACCTCCGTCAAAGATTGTCCCGTAGACCCTACAACATTGACCGATGTCAGGATGACTATGGCCATGACTGACGGTACCGAGTTCACATTGCAGGACTCATGGAGATCATCCGACGCTCGGTCTCTGCCGTGTCGATGGACGGGAAAGACCGTCTTCGTTATCGGTTCTTCCGCCAAAACGCAGATTAAAGTTCGAACCCGTATGCCGAACGCCGACGACACGGGGCGCCGCGTGCAGACTGCGAATGGCTATTATGGACACGCATTGCGTGCAAAGGGCCGTACTATCGTACCTGCCAAATCTCGCGCCTGTGTCGTTACGGATCTCGAGTTTGAGCCCCCGGGTGGTATGTCCGCCCGTCTTCAGCCGCTTCGCGGCAGTGGCCTCGATGTTTGCCCGGCCATGTACACATACAATGAAGGGGCAACTCAGTCCGGTGTTGACGTCCTTAATCCTACCGACTATGATATTATAGTCGAGCCCGGACAAGACGTTGCTGTGGTTCAGTTTTACACTTCCGTTCTGGCAGCGGTTGAACTCGATTTCACCGCAGAAGACGTGGCATGTGATGTTTCTGCACCGGTTGAACCATCCGAAGACGGCCACGCTGTTGATACAGCACCTGCAATGCCTGTTCGCCCTGATCTTCACTCACACCGATCTCCCGATTCATCGGTCTTCTTCTACAGTGCGTGTGTTGCACGGCCCGTTGACCGAAAAGAGCGTGCCGCTAATCCCAAGGCGAAAGCCGCCCTTGACAAGGAGTGGAATAAGCTCATCAACCAAGGATGTTGGGATTACGCATCCGTGCGTGAGTGGCGCGATGTGTCTAACGAGGCTATGGCGAAAGGGGAAACGGCCCACGTTGGCCGTATCTTCGATATATGCGTTGAGAAGAATTCCGAGCTTCCGGAGTCCGACCCTAATCGCAAATTTAAGGGTCGAGTGGTGTTCGAAGGATGTCATGTCAAAGACGAGGGCAATAATTGGGCTATTTTCTCCGAGATCACTTCTTGTCCCGCGACCATGGAAGCTGGAAAGGCCGCCGATGCATTCGGCCTTATCAGCAAACTTGCCCTACAGTAGTAGTAGCAGCAGTAGTAATTGTAGTAGTAGTAGTAGTAGTAGCAGTAGTAGTAGTAGTAGTTGTAGTAGTAGTAGTAGTAGTAGTAGTAGTAATACTAGTAGTAGCAGCAATAGTAATGGTAGTAGTAGTAGTACTAGTACTAGTACTACAAGCACTTTTATGAAGAGAATTTGTGCAAAAAAAAACCACCCCCAAATCCTGACAATCGGCTCGGCTAAACTGTATACGCGAAACGCTATACGCGAAACTATATACGGCCAAACGCTATACGCGAAACCCTATACACCGAAACTCTATACACGAAACACTATACGCGAAACTATATACGGCCAAACTCTAAACACGAAACGCTATACGCGAAACTCTATACGCGAAACGCTGTACGCGAAACTATATATGGCCAAACCTTATACGCGAAACGCTATACACGAAACTCTAAACGTCCTAGACGTATAGAGATTGGACGCCCCAAATGGGCTATATCCGGAAATCGGCGCTAGCCTCAATAAAACAAGCACTTTTATGAAGAGAATTTATACAAGAAAAACACCCCCAAATCCTGAGGATCGGCTCGGCCAAACTGTATACGCGAAACGCTATACGCGAAACCCTATACACCGAAACTGTATACGCGAAACGCTATACATGAAACTCTAAACGTCCTATACGTGTAGAGTTTGGACACCCCAAATGGGCTATATCCGGAAATCGGCGCTAGCCTCAATAAAACTAGCACTTTTATGAAGAGAATTTATACAAAGAAAAACACCCCCAAATCCTGAGAATCGGCTCGGCTAAACTGTATATGCGAAACGCTAGACGCGAAACCCTATACACCGAAACTCTATACGCGAAACGCTATACGCGAAACTCTAAACGTCGTATACGTATAGAGTTTGGACACCCCAAATGGGCTATATCCGGAAATCGGCGCTAGCCTCAATAAAACAAGCACTTTTATGAAGAGAATTTATACAAAGAAAAACACCCCCAAATCCTGAGAATCGGCTCGGCTAAACTGTATACGCGAAACGCTAGACGCGAAACCCTATACACCGAAACTCTATACACGAAACGCTATACGCGAAACTATAAACGTCGTATACGTATAGAGTTTGGACACCCCAAATGGGCTACATCCGGAAATCGGCGCTAGCCTCAATAAAACAAGCACTTTTATGAAGAGAATTTATACGAAGAAAAACACCCCCAAATCCTGAGAATCGGCTCGGCTAAATTGTATACGCGAAACGCTAGACGCGAAACCCTATACACCGATAGGCCCTAAACCTTAAAGCCCAAACCCTAGGCCCTAAACCCTAAAGCCCAAACCCTAGGCCCTAAACCCTAGCAGGCCCCTTTGGCCTTAAACGACGAAGGTTTGGCCTTAAACGACGAAGGTTTGGCCTTAAACGACGAAGGTTTGGCCTTAAACGACGAAGCCCCACAGGGTGACCGCCCTTGAACGAGGGTTTGGCCTTAAACGACGAGCCTTAAACGACGAAAGGTGACCTTAAACGACGAAGGGGTTGACCTTAAACGACGAAGGGTGACCTTAAACAAGAGCAGGCACACGAAAAGAACGGCCCTGTTTTGCTGCAGAATGTGGCCCGAACGAAGGTTTGGCCTTAAACGACGAGCCTTAAACGACGAAAGTCTGGCCTTAAACGACGAAAGTTTGGCCTTAAACGACGAAAGTTTGGCCTTAAACGACGAAAGTTTGGCCTTAAACGACGAAAGTTTGGCCTTAAACGACGAAAGTTTGGCCTTAAACGACGAAGGTTTGGCCTTAAACGACGAAAGTTTGGCCTTAAACGACGAAAGTTTGGCCTTAAACGACGAAGCTGGAGGCTCAGACCTTCGTCGTTTAAGGCCAAAACTTCGT